ATGCAACTTCTTTATGTTCAATAGTACATACTGTATACACAAAATTATATATGCATATTTATATATCCATATATTTGTAGTATTTGTACGTCTAGGTTTGAAACTTTTGGACTTCTGTAAATAATAGTTAATGATAAAGTAGTGGAGAATAATAGGAAATTAGTCGGCAGAAACGTAAACATGTATTTATTTATTTTAAATTTGATTTATTAAAACACATTACAAATTCCTAGAAAAATGTAACCATTTTTTTAATTTTTATTTTATTTTTGAGCGTTTAGCAAAGCACACTAGAAAAGCTTGAAATTTTCTGAATTTCAAAATAATAAAAAAAAAAAATTTGTAAAGTTGACCATCACATCTTGTACGCAACTCCTTCATATTGAAACGTTACTGTACTCGCTCTTTGATAAATTGGGCTCGTCCAGTAAAGCCTGTGATTATGTATTTCTTTTTTACACTTGATACATAAATGGTTAGTATTAATTAGTCATGCATACTTAAAGGCAAAAGAACAAAAACAAGGACTGCTTTTGATCATTCTTACTACATATTTGTGAAGTCCTTCAAAATATATTTTACAAGCTCTAATTGCTAAAATAGTGTTAGTGTGTGATCAGTGCCCAATTTCATAAAATTTCCCGAGCGTAGCCGAATGGTTACTTCCACGTTTTCTCGACGTTTCATGACCCTTAATGTATGAAAAAATATGTCTCTCGTTTCCGTCTATCAACAGCTTCTTGACGTCTGTTTGCCGTATGTCTGTCATTGGTCGTGTGTCCCATGAGTCGATTTTTATTAGACCCATCATCTCCGAAACTATCGGTCCGATTGTTGTTATTTTTTATACGTACACTTTATTTCACGAAAGAAGTCCGAATAAATTTTAAAAAAGTTTATCAACCCGAAATGATGGCATGTACCATGTACCGACAACGCAGAGTTCTCATCTGGGATAGATGCGAACAGTATGATGTTCTAAACAGTTTACTTCAATATAAAGTTTCATAGATATCTATAGCTGCTCTTATATTTAACCTTGTAGTGATTAGTAACCCGGTAATGTTTATAATTTTAATCAACATCAGATGATGGTATACCAGTGTGATTCTAGCATGAGTCACATCCGTCAGAAAATGAGCATTTGTTAACAGGCATATTGTCTACTCTAAAAAAAAGCCGTAATGTTTTATAAACTAACAAAGAGACGACTTTAATTAGCGTCATTATTCTAGTGCAGTTCGTCGTAGAATTTGCGTTTTGAATTTCTTTTATATGCTAATGAGTACTTATCAACGTACAACATATAGACAAAGTAGTGGCGATGATTCAGTGCTACACTTAAAACAAAAACAGGGAGGATGAATTATCAAGTACCATGTGGTATTTTAGTCATAGTTTTAGAATGCACTCATATCTAAGGTACATAATTATCTATGTGATTCGTTCAGTTATGTCGCTGTCACATTTGTGTACACCCATATGTCTCCATATTTTTAAATAGAAATATTTTTGTGATGGTTAACCTTTTTTGAAAATCAAAACACCGTTTCTGGGACAACCAATAAGGCAAGTGTTTACGGAATACGTAATAATAAATAAATAAGGTAAATTTAATTTTGGTGAAATTTTTCATAACGTAAGTTTAAAAACTAATATCTCAGTTAGTTATGGAAATTTTGGAACGCGGTTTTCGCTACTGTATTTATCTTCTCTTTTACAATAAACGGCAAATAACTGAAAATAAGCTAGTTGTACTCAAATTTGCCTCTTCCTCGCAAAATTTAAAGACAATGTACGTTGACGGTTCAACTTTTTTTTTATTATGTTACGCACTTGATTTTTTTCAATTTCTCTGTTTTTGATTAAACACACTTCAGACACAGGGCTAGACTGAGTTTGCTATTAATTTTTCTCACGCTATACATTTTTCAAGTAATTTATTAATTCCGTGTAACATTCAGCAGCAGCAATTTAAAAATACATATAAGTATATAACTTCAAAAAAACAATGATTTTAAAAATTTCACGAATTTATTGCGAATACTTTAACCCCATTTCAAGTTTTGTTCGTTTTTGACATATTTTATTAGTTCTTTCACAACAATTTAAATTACATAAACCAAACGTTGTCCGAATTATGCAATTGTGACTTTTATCACACACAAATTTAACAAATTAAAAGTATTTCCGTTATGAATACATATACCTTACGAGTATTGTAGCAATAATAAAATTACTGTTTACCTAAGCTCTCGCAAAGAAAAAATGTTGTATTCAAGTCGCCATGTTTAACTATATATCCAAAGAAAATTTCAGAAAAAAACTTTTCAATGACTAACGACTCAATTTGTAATGAATGGTGGTACAAAATAATTATCAAACAAATGTTAAAGTTGACTGTTAAAAACGTCAACTTTTTAATTCTTCAATACATTCTCAAACTCGATTTTTCCCAGTTTCAGATGTAGACATATTAAATGGTTCGATGAAGCAGAAAACAGTGTCAACGGATAATACTAACAAAGAACAAACTATAGAAAATAGAAAAATAAAATTAATAGCATGCAGTGTGCAGTGTTACTCAAAATAACATCTGAATAAACATAATTTCGATCACACAACACACGATGAACACTAACCAGCGTTTTCCAGATTAATTCATAACACATTTTTCCAAATCTAAATTTACTTTGATGTTCATATTATCTAAAGATGTATATAATTCAAAATATAAACTTCAGGATTATTACGTTAACGAAAATCCTGTGCCACAGTACATGTATAACGGTAATGTATAAATAATATATATTTTTGTTAGTTTTTTAAAATAATATGTTATTAACATTGCGACGACTAAAGGAGGTATATTTGGTATTATGGAAAATTTCTCTCTTTAAAACCTTGTATTACTTGAGTTTATGACAAATCTTAAAATAAATTTTTATTATAAAATAATACCATATACGCAAATTTAGTGTATCCTCATGCTTAAGGACGGTAATGTAATCTTCCACTATTTATGTGTTTGTATCAACAAAAATTTATTTGAAAACCCAGACATAAATAATACTGGATGTGCATCTCCAGAAACGCTTTTAAATAGTTTCACCATACGTCACTTTACTTGAAGGTAATCATGACAGGGAGGCTGTAGCTATTTCTTTAAAATCCATCTACCTGTGTTGCTTTGTAGATCGTTTTGTCCTACACACCTACCTCGAGTGGCTTCCCATCGTGCTATTGTCATTTTTGCTGAGGTCTATTATTTAACAATGTCTTTTTACAGTCGACTTGGTTACACTCTTTATTGTTTATTTCGTTTCAGTGTTGCTTTGTTCGGAGAAGGCGCCATGGTCGGATCGATAGAAAGGTATTCTTCGAACGTCAGACACTTATCCGTTTCCCTAAAATCCACATGACTTTTGGACCACTTTGGAGCACCATTTTATTCAGCACTTCGACAGACTTCAACATAAATTGACTAACTTATATAATACAATGGAACGTTGTAGTCTTAAATCGATTAAACACTTACTTTTGTAGAAAGCTAGAGACAATTAAGTACATTAGACAATTAATTCGTTAAATGTAATTTCTGAGACAAACCGTGAATTTTTTAAATATGTATGCTCGTATATAAATACTTTTCTTTAATAAACAATATATTAAAGGTGCGGTACGCTTGTGCTTTTTACATTACTTCACTTTTTAAAATTATTTACCTACATAAATTTTTCAAAGGTTGATACTGTCTCAAAAAAATTTATAAAAAAATTGGTGTAAATTATGTATAAAACAATCTTAAATTTTTTAATTCCCGAGCGTAAGCTAGGAAAGTAATGTAATGGGTTTAATTTGGCGAATTGCTAATTTCAAGTTTTCTTGAGTCTGAAAAAGTTCGTTTCTATCTTAATAATATGCTTCTATACTTTTGGTTTCTTAATTCACACTTATTTTTACATCAGATATCTAAATTCTTGTAAAAAAAAACTTTGAACTATACAACAATATTTTACAATTTAACCTAGCTTTAACAAAACCCAATATGTACTCCTGAAATGTGTATGCCCTTTACAGATGTTCATTATTTCCAAAATTTGATGAAGTCATTGCATAGTTTTATTTGGGAAAACCACTTGTAACATAGGCATAACTAGTATGGTTCTTTACCTGTAATTGAATACTCCACACTTATTTTCATTTTAACTTATCATACAAAAAATAAATTTCGCAGAATTAAAATGTATAGTTTATGTAAAAAAATGGATTAGTTTGATTGAATTGATTGAAGTTGTGTCTAAATGACATTAAACATGTATATAAAGTATGTAACTTATCTTGCCATGAACCGATAGTAAAATAATGTAATTAATTGCTTTTGAATAATTATAATATTGATCAGAAACGTGACAGAATTTTATGCTATAAGGAACATAAAGAATAAATGTCAACAGCAGGGATATATAAATTGCTGTCTTATTACTGTTATAACAATTTAATTATACAGACTTAGTATACAGTCTGGGAAAGGTCGAATAACTTTATTATTTGAAAAGTTTTTTTTTTTAAATTTGGTGTGGACATATAGTTAAACATAGCGACTTGATTATAATATTTTTCCTTTTTTTATCCCTTTCGGTTTGACAGACAAAGCCACCTACTTTTTTTAACGGAACACACAGCTTTTTTGTCATTTTCTCATGCAGAATAAAAAACTACTTTCAGAAATTATTAACATGTTTATTTCTACTGATACAAAAAATACAGAAAGTTCACAAAAAAAACACGTAATAATGTAAAATCACGTCATTTTTGAAAATACTAATAAATAGTAAACTATGAATGAAACTACAATAAATTCAGTGTTCTCCGTTTACAATTTCGCAGTGCTGTAATCAATCAACAAATAATGTTTCGATGAATTATGTATCTGTTGTGACATAATATTGGTTTATTTCTTCAGTTATATGGAACTTCTTCTATTCTAATTGTTGAAGATAATTTGATTGATTTTTATACACTTGACATTTTAAATGACCCCAAAAGAAAACATTCTAGAGGCGAAAGATCTGGAGAACAGGCTGGCCATTCAGTTGCCCTTCTGCGTCAAATCCAGCGTGCGGGAAATCCTTCGAAAGAGAGCTGCAAGTGCTGGCACAACCTCGTTCCTCAATAAATTCCCGTATGAAAAATGTGGTTTCCAACCAGACCAGCCCAGGCATTCACTTTTTGAGGATTCTGTATATGGCCTTCCTTGATCCCATGAGGTTTTCAGTTAACCAGTAACGACAATTGTGCCTGTTAACGGTCCATTAAAACAAAACTCTGCTTCATCAGAGAAGACTGTTTGATTGTTTGATTTAGCACATCAGGCTGGTAGGTAATTGATAAATTCTGTCATTATTTCACAAAAGTGTAGTCTACGATCTGGATCATCTTCAATCAACTCATGCACATATTGTTGTTGACCCGTGACGATTTTCTAGAATTGTTAATAAAACATTTAGGCACGTGGCTTCATCGGTTGCTTTTTTGTACCTCCACTTTTTATTAAGACTTTTACTTAGCGAAATACGTTGTACTCTTCAATTATTCGATACAGTGATAAACAGTGTTAAATAAAGTGTGAACTTCTTCAGAAGAACGTTGACGGTCACCATTTCCACGCATAATCAAGATATCAATTCGTTCAGATTCTGTTAAGTTTTACACCCATTTACAAAATAGCTAATAAATTAACAACAAAAGATAGTGACAGCAATAACACCTGGACACGCCAAAAAAAATTTGGGTGTTCCATTAAAAAAATAGAGCTTGTCTGTCAAACCGAGAGCGATAAAAAAAGGAAAAATGTTGTAATCAAGTCGCCATGTCGAACTATACATCCACACTAAATTGCAGAAAAAATTTTTCAAATAACAAAGTTATTCGATCGTTCCAGGACATTTTACAATCTTTTATGTTTTGGGGTTAAACTCGTCACTTTGCGCAAATAATGTATCAGTTAGTACCTACTAACTTAACAGCATGATCTCATTACAGAACGGAAATATGTACTCACTGATGTTTTACAATGAAAATTTCAACAAAAAATATCTCATCGTAATACAAAGAATTTGCAAAAAAAAAACAATAATTGTATCTACTGGCAAACAAATATATGTATGTTTGTTTTATAAGTAACAATTTTGTTATGTTGTGTTAGAACGAAACGTTTATCATCACATGTGCACATGTCAAGTCAACTAAGGAATCGAATTAACAATAAAAAAAAAATTGTCGAAAGTTGTTTAGACAGAACTTCCCTCGCTTCTGAAGTACAATGAAAGATATCCAGCGTTTTTCAAAAATTATAAAATTTGATTTCGCAGATTTTATATTTTTTATGAGAACCCCTATAAGTTGAAATAAACATATAAAAATATGTAATGCTAAAGTAAATGTAAAGAAGCATGCTACGCGTTTGGGCGTTTGTTTCAAATAAGTTTTTACTTTACAAAATTTTGGGATTCACGTCAGTCATCATTTTTCCAAGAACGCGTATTTCAGCTTAGGTTCGTGCAGTAATAGTATACTTGTCCAAAAGGTATAAGGTTATATGACCATCATAAAAGTAGTTGACCGCAAATAAATACCCCCTTTGTGTGGTTCGCACTAAGCTTACCGGTTGGCAATAAATCGTCTTCTAAACATTTCTTGCTCACATTTAACAGGGCCGGCTTTCAAAGCGAGTGGTTATTTCGGAACCCTCAGCGGCTGCAGGTAGTAAAGAAATAGTGGAGTGGTGGATTTTCATATTTAGTGAAAGCCGTCCCTGAACGAAACCACAACAGCCGGTCGAGCTGCAGTGGACACGTTATTTACGACCCTAAAACCTTTTCTATTGTAAACAACTTAACTTCGACACAATGGGATGATTTTATGATGGCCATATAACCTTATAGCTTTTGGTCCACTACTTGTCCAAAAGGTATAAGGTTATATGACCATCATAAAAGTAGTTGACCGCAAATAAATACCCCCTTTGTGTGGTTCGCACTAAGCTTACCGGTTGGCAATAAATCGTCTTCTAAACATTTCTTGCTCACATTTAACAGGGCCGGCTTTCAAAGCGAGTGGTTATTTCGGAACCCTCAGCGGCTGCAGGTAGTAAAGAAATAGTGGAGTGGTGGATTTTCATATTTAGTGAAAGCCGTCCCTGAACGAAACCACAACAGCCGGTCGAGCTGCAGTGGACACGTTATTTACGACCCTAAAACCTTTTCTATTGTAAACAACTTAACTTCGACACAATGGGATGATTTTATGATGGCCATATAACCTTATAGCTTTTGGTCCACTATATATTAATAAGGTATCACTTACCGCAGTTCGGTCAGGAATTAGGATGTATCTGAGCTGCGCCCACTACCTGAGTTTTTGAGCTCAAAATGTCCAAATTGCCCACATTCCACTGTAGGTGAATATTCCGAGTTGCGCCCGCTACCTGGAAGTATCACACCTACCCCGATTTACTCTCCATGAAGCAAGTAAAAATGTTGTCGGACGGTTTTTTTCATAATTTCTAAATATGGTTGCTTTAATACTTTGAAAAGTAAAAATATTAGGATGACAAGAACTAAATGAATCATTATATTTCGCGAGGAACGATTTGCAAGTGTTTGTTGTTCCTCAAAATTTTTCACGCTGTGCCCACTTGATAGGAGGAAACAACAGCCCATTAGCATCGGTGTAGAGTATATGTAAATAGGTGCCCGAATTTACAACCAGTGTGAGGAAAACTTGAATCTCTAAAACATAGCAGGTTAACACAATTTACCTACTAATTGAACTCAGTATGTTCTACATGTACATTTTAGGTAGGTATAGAGTAATATTACTTTAAAAATAGCACCTCGGTAAAACTACGCATTCGTCAATTTATTTTTGGAGATTATTTCTATGTTCATTTAGGTATATCTATGTAATTCAAGTGTCATATATTGATGCCACAAAACACTGGATTTTCTAATGGAGAGTGATTTTTCCTGGATTAATAGGGTCTAAGAACACGGTAAGGGAACAATCAGGTAGTGGACGCAATTCGGACATTTTCCGAGCATTTTCGGACTACCCCATGACGGCAATGATGTCTATAATACTTATTTATAAGAACCTGATATACTAGACTTCAAATTATTTGAGAATATCATAAGTGACTATTCCGTATGCGCGGACGTTGATCGTCAGTGGCGTAGGCAAATTTTAAAATAACTTATCATTGAATCATAATTTCATGATAAAATAATTATTATTATTCTTAGTAATTGTCGACTAAATTTGAAAAAAAAAAAACTAGGAGTAATTTTTTTTTAGATTTTTTTCCATTTTATCAAATAGCACGAAAATTGTTAAAATGTGTCAAAATTGCAACCAATCAAGGAAAGATGGAAACTGTAAATTTGCCATAAAGAATCGTCAACTGTTTTATTATAAATTAAAAAAATAATAATAAATTAGTACGTTCTTGAACTGAAAATAAGAAACAAGAAAAAATATACAGAAAACGTAAAAATAATAAATAACAAATACCCAACATACTGTCCACATGTGGGCTCGGGAGGATCAGTTGGCTTGGCGCTTGCCCGCTACACCTTTGGTCGTGGGTTTTTTTCCGCCCTACCTCTGAGTGTTGTGTACGTCTTTGTTTCCTGTCATTCTGCCTACGGTTTGTTGGAGACATAATACTGAAATAAAATAATAAATAAATAAACAAATAAACACATAAATAAATCAATAAATAAATAACTAAATATATAAATAATATTCTGGGAAATTTGCTTTTTCGTCTGAATCCTCAGTATTCAACATGTGATAACACGAATATCCCGTCAAAATTTGGCCTTCAACTATGATCGTCAACAAAAGTGGATCCCTACGTTGTGTATATGTTCCTTTTTATGGTAGAATGCGTTCCAATGCAAAATAGGAAGCCCCATGGTTGGAAAAGTGCCCCTAAAACAAAGACAAAATATGGACAAAAATCGTGTATTGCTCCATCCAAAAAAAAAAAAAGAAAAAAAGCTGTGACTATGGCGTTCACAATTGTTTTAAACACGCAGTAGGCCAAGGAATTTTTTTGTTAGATTGGCGTCATCTGATATATTTTTTTTGTACACGCTCCCAAGAATGGTTATTTTAGGGATTCAAAAGTGTCCGTAAAATGAGTCAAAAATGCCATGGCAACTTTTTGGGACTGAATAGTAAAAACTATAAAAACAATAATTAAATAACCACATTTATTCTAAAGGAGTAGATACAACAATACAATATTTATTTCTCAAAATGAAAATGGAATGAACAGTTTTGAGCTCCCTGAAAACTGTTGTGTCCAAATGAAATACCTGAGGAGCTTGAAGGTATCAGGCTGATGTCTCTTGATGTCGTGGAAGTAGCTTCAGTAGTAACTAATAGTGTGTTAGTCGATGGTTCGTTTTGCTTTTCTCCCAATAACTGTCTGCATATCTTCTTCTTCCTTTCAACAGATTCTTCTATATATGATTCTGCGACAGAAGACGACCTAAAGTTTGTTACTATTTAGAAGAAAGCAATAATTATATTGCAGAAAAATTACTTCCATCCTCCTAGCCGTTTCAGGGAGATTAAATCAACATCACTATCAGCCGCCAGAGATGCAGAACTTCGTCGGAAGCAATGCCCTGTATATTCCTTGGGATTGGGCAGGTTAAGAAATTCAGCAACAACCGAGGGCATTTTCGCAAAAGAATGAATTCCTACACGTTGGACAGTGCATTTTCCATTACGATAACAAATGAAAAAATAATCGTGTTGAACTGTCTCGGGCCGTAATCGTAAAAACTTCTGGTATAATTCCAGGCCATTGACAGCTTTGCCTTTAGCTATCACTGGAAAGACTCTCTTAATGTTGCTCTTAGTATCAGGAATTGTTATAATTAGACATTCTTCGTCTTTTTGGACAATATCTTGAATTTTTAGTGAATGTAGCTCCTCACGCCTACATGCACCACACACACCAAAAAGAAGGGCAACCTACAAAATGAAAAATAAATCTATCTGATACATAGAATATTTTTTAAACTTACCTTTATATAATAAATATTTCATATCGTCTGCATTTTTCAAAAATGTGTCAATTTCTTGACGTGTCAAAACTTTTGACTTCGTGGGCTCGTATCCTACTGAATTTCTCTTTAAAAACGCAATGACTCTGGAAAACTTGTTTATTTCAATATTTTCTTTGACAGACAAAACAGCTTTAATCATTGAATATTTTGACCAGAGAGTAGATGGTTTTACTTCTTGTGACTGTAACAAAATACGGAAATTATCACGATAATCATGTGTAAGGCTTATAAATATTGAACATAAAGGCGGCACTTACCTTTTCATGAAGATAATTTAACATTTCATCTTCATCTACTACTACAATTTTTTTTTCTTCTTTCCATCGTAGGAATATTTGATATACCTTTTCGTACATTTGCCGAGACTTCGCTGGAAGTAAATCCAGTACGATTTCTTTTGCTTTTTCCGTAATATGTGCAGGATTCTGCATTTTGTGCAAAAAAATGTCAGGTTTTTTCGTGTTTACGAAACACTGTAGTTACTATGGTGGCAGCCCACTAGCCCACTTTTCAATAAATATTTGCTTCGTTTGTCAAAATTAGTCGTTTTTATAAATGGTTTTAAGGTGTTTTGGGAGCTTGAACAAAAAATATTGTTTGTAACACGTACCTAAAACTATGTTTTAGGTACTTGTAACAAAAATAACTATTTTAATATTCTTCTTGTTGTCAGGGCTCCAGAGCTGTCATTAATTTAGCTAATTTACTCCTGGCAGCAACGCCCGGTTGTCATCAGTTATAACCAAAAATAAATTTATTATAATAAATCACAATACAGCCAACTAGATTTTTATAGATAGCGCGAATTTGAAACACTCGTGAATGGTTACTAATAAGTCCACTTTGGGCAGGTTGAAGACTCCTTAGTTCTCAGCTAGAAAAAAAACCGTAACTTTCAAAATGAAATCGGATCAAATGTTCCGAATCAATGCAAATACTTATTTGAATATCACATTTCTAAAAACACTAAGAAAAAGAAAAAACTGAATTAAAGCAACTGAGTAAAATAAATAAAATTGAGTAGTAAAATACTCAAGTTATGACTATCCGATCGATAGGATACTTAAACCATGAAGCCAGTAGGTAAACACCCTATTTGAATCACAACTACAAGATAGCAAGATATATTAATGTTATAAAATCTCTAATGATTAACAACATACCGACCGCTTAGGAACGGTCGGCACGCACTCGACTGACTTCCCTGACAGCCTTGTTCCACACAACGTCGAGCCCCACCGACATGACGCACCTCATATGCTTTGTTTTTGACAAACCCTTCGTCAAAAAAATCTGTAATCTGGTTTTCTGTTGGCTTAACTTGATCTGCCCGTTCTTGAGAACATCCCAAACGTAATGGAGGCGGATATCAATATGTTTGCTCCTCTGGAATGGAACATGGAATTTTTCGACAACTTCAGTGAACTTTTGTTATTGCAGAAAATAACCAAATCGGATGATTCATGAAAACATAACTCACGCAAGTGTCCTTGTAAATGGCATCGGTGGTGGACAAAGCGACCGCTCGCTGCTTTCGAACATCCCAGAAAGGGGGAGTCCGAATTGCGCACATGACCTGAAAAAGATAAGAATTGCGCCCTTTTACCGCTCGGAAAATGTCCGAATTGCGCCCACTACATGAATGCGCCCTTACCGCGTTCTTAGACCCTACAATGCAGGTAAAAATTACTCTCCATTGGAGAATCGAATGTTTTGTGACGTCAGTATAGAATATTTCAATAGTTTTACTGAGGTGCCATTCTTATAGTAATATAACTCTATACCTACGTAAAATGTACATGTAAAATGTATATTCAGTTCAGTTAGTAGATAAATTAACCTGCTATGTTTTACAGAATCAAATTTTCCTCAGTCTGATTGTAAATTCGTGCACCTATTTGTATATAATCCTCTGTTGTTTCCTCGTATCATGTGGGTCCATAGTGAAAAATTTTGAGGAGCAACAACAAATGCTTGCAAATCGTTCCATGCGAAATATAATAAGTTAATAACTCATTTAGTTCTTGTCATTCTTACAGGTTTATCTTTTCGAAATATTAAAGAAATTAGTCTTCATATAAAAATTTGTTTTTTTTTAATGAAGAAAAACACCATACTTAGAGATTATGTGAGAAAAAACCTCCGACAAAATCTTACCTACTTTATAGAGAATAAAGCGAGGTAGGTGTGATAATATTTCCAGGTAGCGGGCGCAACTCGGAACATTCACCTACAGTAGAATCTGCGCAATTCGGACTTCTTGAGCTCGAAAGCGCAACTCGGATACGTCCTAATTCCTGACCGAACTGCGGTAAGTGAGGATTTTGGGGATTAAAAACTCTCTCCCCAGAATCAATTTTCTAAATCATTTAAGTGATGGCCAAATTAATTTAATATCCAGAATTCTGAATCAAGAACTGAGTAAAAATTTAGTAAATAACATGGACATAGTTACGTCAATTTTCAGATAACTTCACTTTCTTTATTCTCGTTGTTTTTAAATATGTATTGAAAAACGACGCGTAGCTCACATACTTACAAAGATTTGTATAATCACTAATATGAATACTTATTTAGTAAATTAAACCATTTGTAGCTATATTTGCTACTGATCAATGCTGTTCCAAATGATATAATTTCTGAAATTGTTAAATAAAATCACCGTAAACTAAACTAAAACATAACTGAAAATTATCTTATTATCTGCAATTATGACATGATTAAAAATTATACCTTGAAATTTCATTATTTCTGAACTGAACAATTTTAGAGTTTATAAACAAAACATATGTCTACAAAGTACATCCTGACGCTATTTGCTGCCCAAATTTGCATTTTGATCTATGTACGTTTCGATAAGGTAATCGATAAATTTATCAATTCGGTCGTCTTTTGGTTTTTCCGCCATAAAGTCCTTCACAAATTAATCATCAACTTTCTCGGGAGATAAGAAAATGAAACCAAACAGATTTCGTATCCATCTGCCAGCTTCTGAGTCTGACTCTGTTTTTTGGTACTCCACGCTAAGTCCCACACTTCGTATTTTACGCCACCTGTTTCGAAAGTCAAATATGATGTAATTAGCTCAATAATATTAACCCACAATGCACAATTTACCATGCCTGTGCAAGATGAAAACGGCAACCAATAATGCTGACGTCAGGGAAAACTTCTTCTATACGTGAATGGATACAGAATTCAAAATCTATTACAACGGGCTTAGGATTTAGCCTAAATGACTGCACTTTTCCTTCAACATTTCAAATAATCTCCTATATATCAATTTTTGTTTGCCTTTTAGAAGGCAAAATACTGCAGGAACATATGTATCTTTCGAAAGAGCTTGTATGGTAAACTTATGTATATCGTACGTGTCCACTTGACAGGGCGCTTGCGAGAAATAATTGCAAAATCAGCCTGTAAAGCTATGGTCGGGCCTGCCCTCAACTGGGTAAGCGTATCGTTTTTACCTGGTTCCTCCGACTTTCTGAGCGACTCCCACAATACGAACGCATTTCTAAGTGCGACCGTGATCTCCGATAAGTCTGTTTTACGTGTATTTTTTTCGTAATAACTGAATTCATTGCAATAATAGACCTCTAAAATGACAACTTAAGATTAAGTATAGTATAAAATTAAAATCATAATTCTCGTGAGAGTTGCTCTCCAGCGGACACGTACCTTTATGGATCAATTTTAAATTTTCAAAAAGGTACATTAGTAAAAATTGTATTAAAAAATCCATTGCGCTTTACAGAATTAAAACATCTTAATAAATAATTGAATAAACAGGGGCAGAATATTTAAAATTACAAACTTTAGCCATTTTTCTGGTCCACTCAAATCTATATAATCAGTTAACCGACAGAGCCCATCCTTTTAAACCCCTCATAATACGACAATAAAATTTTATGAGAGCGTCCATTGATTACAATACCGGAGAAGGTAAGTTGTCTCCCAAATGTACAAATTTCTAAAAACCATAAGTAAGTTGTACCCCGACCCCAGGTAAATTGTCTCCCGCACCCAATCCTACATTATGGGTGGTTTAGTTGTTAAAAACACTTCCTACCTTTAATTTACCTGTTTTCAAATTATTGAGTTCCAAGTTCAAGTTTGCGTTTCAAAAAATATTATCTGGTGGTTCTACAAAAAGGTGGAGTTGTGCTTCGCGAAAATCAAAGTGTAAAGCTGTTCTCTTTTCGTTCCTGAAATGTGGGCAGAACACTCTTCCTCAATGGAAAGAACAACCAATGCTTGTGAGTCTTTTCATTCGAAACTGAATGCGAGTTTCTATGCAAATTCTAAATTGGCATAACCACATTAATAACATAGCTGAACAATTATGCAGGAATACGTATTTATTTAGAAATTTAGCGAATAATGTGACAGAAAGTACCCTTAAAACCGCTTATTATGCTTTGATAGAATCACATCTTGCATACTGCATCATTGTGTGGGGACATGCTCCTCAAACAGTACGATTATTTAAGTTGCAACGTAGAATCTTAAGAATTATCGCAAACATCAATTATAGAGATGACTGTAAACCACATTTTATCCGATTAAAGATTTTAACATTTCCTTGTTTATATGTTTGTAAATGTGTAGAGTATATCACGAAAAATAAAGCTCAGTATCGCACGCTCAGTTCTTTTCACTGTTACTCCACAAGAAGTTGTGAGATTAGTCACAATATTTTAAGGTTAGACAGATCAAGACACGGAAATAATTATTACGGCATCAAGTTTTTTAATGTTCTTCCATACAGAATTAAACAACTGGATGCAAAAATCATAGTGCACAAATTAAAAGAGTATTGCATTTCGAAATCGTTTTACTCGACTGAAGAATTTTTGAATAATAATTTTGATGATTTTATTTGATGTATTTGTTATCATTTTGACGTGTGTAAAATACTATGTATTCCTAACACAAATAAATTATATTATTATATTATTATTATTATGCAGCGCATCCCAATATTAACACTTTTATAGATGTTTTGAACAATTTTCAAGTAAACTCATATATTAGACAAAGAACCGTAAATCAAAGTAATTAGTAAAGTCATTTATAATAAGAAATATCTAGAAAGAATTACCTTCTTACAAGAAAAAATTGAAAACTTAGCCAGACATGACATAACAATGTTGGAGTTTATAAAAATTGTTTCATATAAATATCAATGTGATATTTTTGTAAATAAATGTATGTTATTTCTTCATTGGCTTAGATTGTAAATAAATACATATATTTACTTATGTAAATGTTATACAAAAAAACATATTTTTTGCTCTTATTGCAAATGTACCTGTATACCAATGTGGTATTTTTGTAGGTAAATGTATACACATATTTTTTTATTGGTTTAGGTTGTAGATAAATACATAATTATATGTATTTGTAAATTAATTATAAATGTTATACAAAAAAGTATAATTTGGACATGCGCATAACATAACATAAAGTACATTCTTGTATATTATTGCAGTCTCGACGGTGCCGCCCGTTAGCCTTAATCCGTGTACCTGCGTAACCGGGAGAGAATTTACCTATACCCTTTTTGTCACCTTGACCACTGGGAGACAACTTACCTACAGCCTACAATACTTCCTTTGCTTACGCTCGGGAAGTAAAAAGATCCGAATTTTATAACTACATTTTTAATTTAACTTAAAAATCGAATGTTCTAAAATCTTGCAAACATTTTAAAGTTGTCGTAAGCATGGTAAATCGTTGAACAAATTTATCTGTCAATCCCCTTCAAAAACTTGATGACGTCATCTCAAAATTTTCCTGAATAAATCCTTCTACACTTGTGGTTTCTCAGTGCATTCATATTTTTGAAATGGTTTATATAGTGTGCCTCAAAAAAATTGTAAATAGATAATGGCTCAGCTTTTTTTACCAACATTTTGAAAATATAGGAGTGTTGTAAAGTTGATCACGTCACCACACAATTTTGTTATGAAACTGGCTTGAAACATATATATGTATGTTTCTTTACCTTTAGTTAACAGTCCACACATATTTTTAGTTTTAACTTATAGGGGGTTATTACAAAAAATTAATCAAATGTTACAGCTAATGGTTCTACTTCAGGAGCGAAGGAAGTTTTGTCAAATAACTTGAGACCAGTTTAATGCAGCGCTGATATAATAAGAAAACGAAACAAAATCTTTTGTACAATGTAATTAAATTTTTCTTATACATAAAGCCGGTGTCGGCGTGACCTACAGTGTGATTAAGTTAAATAACTTAAATTTAACATATAACTAATATCCGTTTTAATAAGGACTCTTGTACAGTAACCTGTTTAATATTGAACGCATACGTATAGTGTCATATCATGATGAGTAAAACAAGAAAACCGATTTCAGGTAATATAAAAGGAACACACACGTGTTGTTATTCGTATAGCAATACACTTTAAATTAAACTTTCTGTCTTTGCCAGCACCGATCAATAAATCAGTAGTTTGAAAAAGAAACTGAACCTTTGCAAAGGACTTAAAGCGTTCTAGCTGGCACTACTCCTAACAACAAAGTTTTAAAAAAATCAGTTCGTTCTTTAGAGGTTGGGGATGTAGAATTAAATTTCAAATCGATTTTTTATTGTTTATTATGCTAAAAATATTTTGCATGCGTGATCACACTGGTGGGTTCTAGTAGACGCATATTTTTTTTTAATTTACTCCTTTGAGTGACAATTCCTCTTCGTCGATGGTTGTAATAACCAGTTTCATCGAACAGAAACGTACAGAATGCATTTAATCTTTTAAATTGTACACACAAAAACGTACCGGCCAGCAACCAAAAAAGTTATAAGAGAAAACGTTTTAATAACAAAAATTCATAACAAAATTGAATATCATAACATACACTTTGACTGAAATTGCAAAATCAGCGCGATTAACATGTTATTTAAATTTGTTATTATTTACTCCTATTATTTAAGTACATATTTTTAATATGTCTCCCTGGACAACCTAGTCTAGTTTGATCATTCCCTTGTTTTTTTAGGAAGCAATTAACCTACTTGTTGGAGATCCATTTTGACCATGAACTTCATCACCCACCCCTCCTGTAGATCAGTTAGTTCTCTGATTTTCTCTTGTTCGTTCCACTTGAAAACGTGTAGTGTTTCTGGATCGATACTGTCAATTTAGTTGAATTAAAAATACATCTTTAGATTGCAATATTGTGCCAACGTCTGATCGCATTCTTAACATTTAACAATAACCGTCTGGAATTTTGATATCGAGATTTTTGTGAGGCAGTCGAGGATATTTAAAATCGTCTGCCGTCCTCAGACGTGTCCAAGCCGAACCCAAAATAGTTCCACGCACGCTGTCCACGACAAGATCGGTCTCGTCTTGCGTTCCGCAGCAGAGGCGCGCGTATCTCATCCACTCATCTTCAAAACATCCACACGCCCTGAACTTTCTTACCGCAGTCGCTCGTCCAAGTTCTCCTTTGCGGAGGCCGTTCCCACGCGGACGACTGCGACAGGTCCACTTCTCGTAGTATCCCCGCTACATTCCTGTAGTAGCGTAGTAGTAAAGTGTTTGCGTACGCACTCAGTAAAATCGAGCACTAGCAACAGTTGATACGTAATTCGTTCCATCCACAGAGCAAATGCAAGTGCCGGCGTCCGGAACAGTGCGTACTTACCATATTTGACCGTAGACAGTGGTGATGTCTGAGTGATCAGTGCAGACCTGACTTGCCGTAAACGCTGACTTTTGCTTGAGAAATCGCCCGACGAGACGCACCATCCAATTCCAAGTAAGTGATTCTTTGTCTTGTAGCGATCGGTATTCGAATTTTGTTTTCGAGTTTGTTGCGTTTCTTAAATCTGCTGTTTCATGTCTGCGATGGTCTGGAGACTGATAATAGTGTTTAATAATAATCGGCTGAAAACTACGTCATCGTTTTATCGGTACATTTATCTGTTTGGATTGCAATTTACAATGATACATTGTGTGTTATACAATCTGTTCGCAATTTGCGATTAGCCGAATCTGAGGGAGACTCTAGTACTTATTGTTACACCTACAGTACGCTGTTTGAACTTTACTATAAAGAGTTAACTTTGTATTTACTTTTTTGTTTTTGGACTAACAATGTTAATCTTCGCCAGAAACTTTTCACTTATTATCAAGAATCTTTTTAAAATCATTTTTCAACTAATAGAAGCTAAGGAATTGTTAAATTTGACGTTTTGTTTTGAAGCGATATATATTTACTTCTCCCCGAAATTATAGTGTAGGTATATAGATATTTAAAGTAGAGAAGATTTATTTTTAAACACAGAAAATGAACATATTATTTGATAAAGTGTTAAGTTAATATTTCTTATAATAAGCAGCAAAAATTTTCTTCGATCCTTCTGGTTTATGGATTTGCTTTCACGAGACGAAATTTACTGCGTCTGAACGTATATTTCTCATTTAAAAAGCGAGATATTGTACTTGGGAAATTACCACGATTACATAAGGATGAACTTATGCGAAATTAATACAAAACAAAGACGGGGTATCATTTGTTCGTTACGAATGTATACAAGAGTGGTTTCCGTAGAAATAAGTTCAGAAAAAAAAATACATGTCTTAAAATGATCCTGTTACACAATACTCTGCTGAACTATCGCCTGAGAAGTAAAAATATACCACTGTTTAAAATATACATTAATTTGCTGTGATGTACATATAACAGAGAAGATTATGTCCAACTTCCCCAACCTCGGAGTTTGTGATGCGATACTTCAGCTTGTCAGGCAGGTCTGTTTTCCTGTCTGTTGGTTTTGTGTCGGCAATACTATTATTGTAAGTAAAGGTTTTCCAAGAACAGTAGGTAAGAAGAGGGACAGACAGGTCCCTTGCCCATGATTTGGCCGGTGATCACCCGATGGTTCAGATCAAGACCCGACGGTTTAAAATACCAACCGTCAAGTTGGCCTGCGGCGTGGGCTTCATTACAGATTGCAGGTATTTTTAACCCGGGAAGTAACCTGTTTCTGACATAACGGCTGTTGGACGACAAGTTAAGCACAAAAATAAAACTGAATGAGACAAGTAAACTATGCAAATGTGCTGTTTAATAAAAATCACACAAATAAATTACGAGCGTGTTGGCAAGAAGAAGTGGCAGAGCTTGGTGAAGGTATTTACGGTGGCGCCAATGACCTCTCCTGTATTTATGCAAGCGCCTGTGTTTTTCATTTGCATGTTTGTTCACTATTCGGCTGAGTATGTAGAAATAGACTTGACTCCGACACTAGATAATTAAACCCACGTTGCCGGATCCAAGCCAGAAAGTGACCCATTACCGTTTCTCGTAAAACTCGCATAAACAACATAATTAGACGGCAACAGGAGCATCCATTCGATGACAAGCTGCTTCTTTAGCGGCGGGTTGTATTCCAGATGCTGTTGAAGCACATGTACTCTTTGCCAAATAATAAACATCAGACTAAAAAAGCCTACAAATTGTTGTATATATAACTGTGTACACAACAGTTCTCCCTTGTATTATGCAGAGGTGGTAGACTTGTGGTTTAGTGGTTTTGAATGTCATGCTGTCGTTATTACTCAGTGCACTGCCTATGCGCAAAACTGACAAAGTGTGACTCAGATCGTGTTTACAATGTGCGGCGCAGTCATCTGAAAATTGAGACAATTAACTAGTTGCTCGCCAGTGCTGTTCTTTTCGGTTTTAAAATCATTTCGTTAGAAACCGGACTTGGTAAAAGATTAAACTGATAAGTACATCATTACGCAGAAATAATGTTTCTGTAGCAACAAAGTCTACTTTGTATTCAGCCGTCATGTTGGAGGCACTGGACAATGGTGCCCGTATTAGTCCGTATATTTTATAATGTTTTGTTTGTTGTTCGTGATTTGAATCAATTGGTCACTTGCCCGCAGAGAAATTTATGGAATGGACAATCAATTTATTTGCGAGCTTCACCCGTTAAAACCGCTTTTGCCTCATTTTATGTATTTATGTACCATTAATGAGGAAAAATTCTTACCAGTATGATAAATCTAGTAAAAAACGTTTAATGATCATAAAGAGATCAAAGCAGTTTGATATGTTTTTCAGAAACTGAGTCTATGATCGACTCGGTTAGTTAATCAAAAGTTGCAATTTATTTAACTGTGAAACGAAAAAAATATTGTTACATGTTACCGTATATAGTTTTCATCGTCCTTCTATTTTGTGTACCTATACTTGTATGTTTGTAGTATGTAAACATACCTAGAAATAACGAAATTACGAGTAATACCACGTCCAACAAAAATTTTGTCTATTGACAAAAGCTTGATTGAGTAAAAGTATTAAAAATTGTAATTTTTAATGCAATGGAGAAAAGGGTAACTAATACGTATATAAGCCGAGATTCTTTACTACTCGATGAGAGGCTATAGAAATATCTGCAGATTTAGCACAGCAGCTTAATGAACTTATATTAACTTACATTTTTCGATTATTCACCATATTTAAAACATTGTCCATTAATTATTCTTACCGTGTGAAACAAACCACATGTTTAATAAATAAATTATCCAGTTTTTAACCTTTTGGTAAAAGGTTTTACCCAATTACTTGAATAATTAAAATTGTGAGTAAAACATCGTAACTATTAACTAGCAGCAAACTTCCGACAACACGTTTATTTCAAGGATCGATAACTGAATCGGAGCAAAATACGTTTTTAATAACGATTTAAATAAAACTCCAAGTATATTTTTAGACATTTAAAATTTATTTTAAACGTTGGGCCACTTTATAGAATGAGAGAGATGAGATTGCTTTAAATAAATATTATGGCACTTTGAAAAGAAGTTATTTTGTAGCTCATACATTCTAATATAAAACTGTACAGCTCAGTGGCCATTTTCAAAAAATTTTATACCAACAACTACAGCCTCTGTTTCAGTAGTAGTGTTTCTCGATCACAATTCCCGTTCAGTTTTAGTTGTGTTCCTAAGTAAAATACTAAATACAATTGTAGTTGTCAATCAACATTTGTGTAATGTAAATATTTTTTTTCTGATAATGATGTGTATTAATTCTAATCTTACGTGTACACTTAAAGTAGCTAATAATGTCACAGTTAGAACAAAAGAACTTAAATAGATTTTTTACGACTTCATAAAATTTGTAAGACTCATTAATAAATACACCTTGATTTTAAAATAATTTCAATGTCTCAGAATCTATTTAGAGACATGCGTAATTATAATTTCAATAATTGAATAAGAGCGTAATTAAAGTTGCAACATGGGGATAAGTGGATCGATAAGCTAAAAAAAGTAAATTTTCCATTATAATAATTGGTATAAAAATTAATCATTAATTATTCAGGGAGTTAATGTATTAAATTAATATAAGTGCGGTTAATTTGTAACTATTTATGAATTGTCAAAATGCGTGCAGAATGTTCCAACAGTACGTCGCAGCAAAATAAATCGAAAATAGTATAGATCCCTTCATGAATTCATGAATATAACTTCCATGATAGGTACTCGATTAAACGATTTTTGTTTGATTTGTGTGTCGGCAACCAGAAAATCACATGTGCATTGAAGCCTAACTGAAATCAATTCGTTTATGCCCAGTTTGACTAGCTAAAATTTTTCTAAATAAATAAATCATAAATATGGATAATCGTAAAATACAAATACCAGATTATAGTATGTTAAAGCAAGCATCTAAAATATGTTATCGAGTTCACTGTTTTCTGATGGATTAACAAAAGATGTTGTAATATTGAACAATTTAGTTTTGTCATTCTTTCTCAAATTGATTAATAATATTGATAATTGATAAATAATAATGTTTTGAAATGACGTCATTAGTTTTTGATGCGGCAAATTTATTAGTTTTGGTATGTATGTACAGTCCCACACTGATCAAAGTTATTTCTCAAAATTTTTGGAAATTAAATACGTACTTAGGTAACGGATTAAATAAAACGGTGCATGCCTCACAAATTTGTCAACATTGCAAAACTATTCACTCTATTTTATCTTAAAATATAATCTTTGAGAATTATTTGACATATTTCTCTAATTAAAATGATGATACGTAGTAGACGTGTGTATACTATGACCAGAAATATAGTACTGATTCTCCTCAAGTGTCCATTGACTTCGCTAATTTTTATGAGGACCGCACACTCTTATAACTAGCCGCAGTCCAGATGGTTGGAAGAGGGTTTGTCGAAATGGACCGTAATGAAAATTTTGTTCTTAATTAATAACTGCCAAGACAAGTGTGTTTACAAGCTTCTAAGTAGGCCGCCTTTGATACTGATGATAGTGAATAAAAATTTGGTAAATTTATATGAAGTGTGTATTTTTTGTTTTAACAGTGATTGTATAGTGGTCCAACTCTGACTTCGTTTTTATGGCACTGCAATCTCAATTACCGCAAGTATTAGAAACTCTATTGAAAATGTAAATAGTCCTTACTGTTAAAGCCGCCGTAGGATTACCATAAAAGTTCTGTCAAATAATGTTTATTACCCTTTTATTTATGAGTAAATAAACACCTGCACAGGACCGAGATGAAGACGAGGTTTGAAAGTAAGTCCAGGCTTAAAGAGAAAAGATCGACGGGTTTTCGGAATTTCATTGTATTATTATTTACCTGCGTAAAGTGGCCGTCGCAATAAGCTGAACGCCTCAAGTGCCCAATAAACCCCTAACCACAGCTTATAGATGCCATAAATTTGGGCCGAATGCCGCGTACCATTCAGTTAGTACTTAAATAAGAAATATGCTGTACCTAAACAGTGGAGAATAATAAAAATTACAACCATCCTAATCACTTCAATGAGACCGCGCCCCAGGTAGCATTCGGTAAAATTTGACGGCCACTATACATACAACCAGTAGAATAGTAGATTGAATGTCCACAGGGCTACTCTATTTTTATGTACCTAGCACTGCATACATTTTGTTGGAGTGCCCTCACTATTTTGTTTTAACTGATTACTGATTAGACATCGAA